TATTTATTAAATTTATTTTTTTTTATTTACAATATTTATTTATTTTTTATTTTTTTTATTTACAATATTTATTTATTTTTATTTATTATCCGGAGCATAGCTGAGAACTTACAGTTTAGACAATGCCTGTCATGATCAGAAGATTAATAAATAATCAAAAAATAACCATGATAATAATCCTCATTAGTCATTAATTTACGCTCAATACTTAACAAAGTATATTTTTCCTAGTTCTATAACTGTTTGTTTAAAAAAATTAATGTTAACTAAAGTTATTTAAGGATAAGACACGTGATAACAAATATATTGTAACTAATGATCTGTTTAAAGAAAAAAACGACCATGACAGAGGTCAATTTGATACTTAATTAATTAATAATGATAATGATAATGATAAGGCACGCGATAACCGTAACAAAATAGATAGTGATTAAGGACAATAAATTCTTATGATAAATATTTTTTAAATTGCCGTTATAATTAACATTATTTATTAGGAAATCTTTGAAAAGCAAGTTATAATATATGTTATTATCATTCCTCCAAAAAAACAACCGATGTCTTTAATGTTCTGGTTTTTCCTTGCTCTTTTCGCTCTTCTTTCCAACCGCGAAATCTTCCTATTCCATTTCCGATTTTTTATTTTTTGAAGTATTAACAACTTTCTCAAAAGAAAAGTTCGCAAGATCATATCGTAGATCTTGAAGGTTGGTCAGAAGTAACTTATATGGTGAACCCCTCATGTACGATAACGCTTTTTTGGAGTACCCATTCCTTCTAGACACGACAAAAATTCCTAAGGCTTCATTTTTGTTGTATCTAAAAAAATTTTAATTAATAAAAAAAAAATATCGAATAAAAATTTTCAGGTATTAGAAAAACTTACCTAGAAAGAGTTCCTTCCAACTCCTTGATTTCTTCTTTTCCAACCTTTCTAATGTGGTTTTTACATTGAACGATAAGGTCGTGTTTTTTGTAAGAGCCACAAATATCGATACCATTGTCTCCATATGTTGACCTACAACTAGAAAAAAGAATCAAAATAAATAAATGCTTTGCCACGACATAATAACCTAGCCTTAAGAATTAGATTATTCTGACTATACACATATTATATTCATTATAACCATAAAAAGTTTTCAAGTAAAATATAAGATGTCTTACTTAGTACGACGGACGAACAAATTCATTTTTCGTAATTCCTCTAAAACACGTTTCTCGAATAGAGAACCTTTTGCTACCGTTGAAAGAGCAGGTTGTATGTTTGCCATGTTGATATGAAAACAGAAAATAAAT